TGGCGCCCCATCCCCACTCCCCTAGTTGACCTGGAGAGGACTGAACACCTAAATTACAGCTCTGACTGCAGGAGTGGACAGTTCTTCATGAAAATTCAAGATACTATCACAAGAAGGAACAATGGGTCTTGGACAAATAAGATGTTTGTTAGATGTTCATTTTACCATTCTGACTCTCTCTTTAGGTGAGGAAACCAAGTCCCTGAGGTAAGATGTTCTCTTCAATCAATGATGAGGCCAGAATTAGAACATCACTTTCCCATCTGTCAGAACTTTCCTCATTTTGCTTCTTTTTCTCCTTCATACATTCAGTTCTTTTAACCTTCTCTCTTTTAGAAAAATGAAATAATATCTTACATTGTCTCCTGAAAATGCTATGAAGTGGGCTGGTGTCTGAGAAATACATTACTAAATAAAATATACTTTTTTTCAACCTTAAAGATAAATGTCAGACAAATATCCCAAGGATGAATACTTGCCAAAGAGCTGAAAAGGAGTTTGTATTTGGCTGTGAGCACCCAAAACCAACACATAGGAAAACTACTTCTTTCTTATCTCAGGAGTCTGACAGTTTTAATAATCATGTCAAATGCATTTTCAGGCATATTTTTTTCCAGGTTATTTGTGCCGTGAAGTACTCTGTCTTGTGAAATGTCAGAGCGCTGCATGTTCAATGGGTGCCGTTTTTCATCTGAATGCACTGAAATAGGATTTCCAATGAAAAATATTCAAGTTCTGTGAGGCATGTTAAATTGTTTTTAATGCCGCCATTATCATGAAGACTTACAACTAGCAACATTCAACACACAAGTTCTGCACTTGGCCCAAATATGGACGTACATGGTGAATGTGGAATAGAGCATTCTTTAGTTCAGGATTGTCCTCTAGTAGTTGGAGGTCCGACCACCTCTAGTAGCCTCAATGCTGGAAGTGGCTCCAAGGTCCACTCTTCCCAAAGCGTTCCTTGGCCACCACACTTAAGAAGTTTCTTCATAGTAATTACAACCACACCCTAATTGTTTCTTCAGTAGTGTACATCACAAGAGGTAATTATATGCTTGTTACCAGAGGCAGAGTGTGTGGCCCTTAAGATCACAGAGCTTGGGGCAATCTACTGGGTTCAAAAACTCAGCTAATTTCAGTCACTGCTCTTAAATATAATAGCTAACCTCTCTGAGTCTCAGGTCTTATAACCGAAAAATATGACACAATGGTATCCAGTTCTTAAAGATGTTGTAAGCTTTAAATGAGGTAAAAGGTGCAAAGCATTTTTAACAGTGACTTGTCTGTAGTGAGCATCATGTAAGTGCTTTCTATTGTTTTGGCGAATTTATTATCCTGTGTCTTCTCCCTTTTCACGTGCACTAGACTCTGGTTTCTGTGAGGGCAGGAACCGTATTCTATTATTTTATCCAGTGGGTATCCAGGAAGAAAAGTGCCTCTTGCATAGTGGTGGGGAGGGGTCAATCAATATTTGTAGGTTGAATGGATGGACAGATGAATGGATGGACCAGTTTGATAACATCCCAAGTGCTCTCACATATATTGTCACATTTGAGCTCCCAAGTGCTGCTGTCAGGTGGCACCAACACATCTCTCATTTTATGTATTAGGAAACTGAAACTTGGAGTGACTTGCTTGAGAGCAGACTTCAACTATAAATCCTGGACTTGAGCTCAGGTTTCTGACTCCAAATCTCATTTTCTTCTGGTTCGACCTTTTACTACTTAATGTTTTCCATCTCTGAATCCTGTCTACAAGATTATTCTATAAAAGAATTTGCCTTGTTCATTGCATTGTTTTCAACATCAAAGTTAAAGTACGTAAAAGACATTTAAAAAAAATACATCACACTCTTACTTCAATGTAAAATTATTATTGTGTTTAGTATTTGAGGGATTGTATGAGGTAGCTGGATTGTTTTGTGAAATGATTTTAGAGGGGAAAGAAAATATTTTAAAAGAAGTGGGATAGAAGAAAAGAGCATCTGGTCAAGGGAGGGATAAAGGATTTACAATAGGAATTGGCTTTGAATTCTGAAGCATTTCCTGATCCTGTACCATGTGGTCAGATCAAGCTGGTCCGACCACCTAGAGGAGAAGGAAAGTGCCTTCCTAATGTTTCAATAATTTATTGAATTATTGAGGTGTGGTCAGCATGCATCTCTGATATTTTCTCACACGCTTTCAGTTCTTGGCTAATAAAAATAGGGGGCTATCGTTTTAGCCTTCTGTTTTACCTCCTCTTTATATAGAAGAGCTGAGTTTAGGGGTGCCTGGGTGGCGCAGTCGGTTAAGCGTCCGACTTCAGCCAGGTCACGATCTCGCGGTCCGTGAGTTCGAGCCCCGCGTCGGGCTCTGGGCTGATGGCTCAGAGCCTGGAGCCTGTTTCCGATTCTGTGTCTCCCTCTCTCTCTGCCCCTCCCCCGTTCATGCTCTGTCTCTCTCTGTCCCAAAAATAAATAAACGTTCAAAAAAAAAAAAAAAGAGAGAAGAGCTGAGTTTCCAGGATGATAGATTAAAAAATCTTCCAACTTATTTTTTTACCGCCACCACAAATTGCAAATTCTGTTGAGGTACTAAGAAAGTTGAAAACAGAAAACACACGCAGGAGAATTTTGGTAGTAATGAGAAGTATAGTCACTGATTAATAGCAAGATGACTGGTAAACAGGATCAACTAACAATTATTGAACATTTAGTATGTGGATGAAACCATGTTAGATGGTTTTATATGCATTGTTTATTTCTTTTCACCATACCCCCACTCACCTCCATCATTTAATTTAATTGGTTCATGCATTCCTTCAACAAATATTTACTGAACAGTTATTTGCCAGGCACAATTCCAGTTACCAGACAGGACATATTAATCTTTTAGAGCTTACACTCTAGTGGGAGATAAAGTCAATAAAAATTGACGAATAAATACTTGCTAAACTATCAGATAGTGGTAAGTCCTATGAAGAAAAACAACATAATGAGTAAGGATAAAGAGTAATGGAGGCCTGAGGTGATTAGTGCTCTATAGGTGGAGTGAGTAGTCCTAAGGAGTTTAAATTTGGCCAAAGGTATGAATTAAGTAAGAGGTTAAACCACACGGTGTTGACAGAAGAGCATTCCGGGATGAAGAAACAGGAAGTGCAAAGTCCCTGAGGGAGTACAAAGCTAGACTGGGACTGTCAGACCGTTAAGGCATAAAGCAACATCAGTAAGGTCCATGAATCAGGCAGGGCCCCTGGATAGGGCTTTAAGAAAAATGTGAGGAATTTAGATTTTTCTCCTGGGTGTGATGGAGAGTTCTTAGAGGGTTTGGGCGAAGAATGACACAATTGGATTTACTTTTCAAAAGATCATTCCAGCTCCTGTAAAGGAAATGATTTGTAGGACATAGGGCTAGCAAGAGTAGAAGCTGGTAGAACAGTTAAGAGGCTGTTGTGCCAGTCCAGGAAAAAGATGGTTGTAGTTGTGGAGGGTGAGGGATGGGGCAATTCATCAGCTTTGGAAGATAACACAGCTCTCTTCTGATTACTTCTGCTTTCTGAGTGAAATGAGTTAAGTCGTGAGCTGAGAATGACAAGATTTGAATAAAGGGGAGAAGGTGTGAGTTGTTCCTCCGAGAGTAGAAAGTGAACAGACTATGGAAAAATACTAGGATTGTGGGATATTAGGGCCTGTTTGAAGTTTGTGGTCATCAGTCTAATGCGAGACAAGACCACATGGCTGTGTGTTCTTCCCTACCCACCTTCAGTTGTTCCGGTGAGGGCAGGTAATTGGGTTCAGTTTGGGCTGGGATTCTGCGAGTGAAGTGTGGTGCATAGGGAGGTGGAAATGGAGTTTTGTACAGTGGGGCTCTGGAACCCAAGCCCGACAGAAGAAAATGAAAAAAAGAAAAAGAAAATCAGACTGTCTCCACACTGTCAAAGATCTACTGGAGTGTGCTATAGACTGAATATCTGTGTCCCCTCGAAATTCCTATGCTGAAACCCTACCCCCCCCCTCAATGTGATGGTATTTGGAGGGGACATTTGAGAAGTAACTGTTCAGATGAGGTCATGAGAGAATAGGAATTGGACTGAGAATGTTGGCATTGGTGGTCAGATGCTTCAAATAGAGACTTATAAGATACTGGAAATGACCAGAGGCACATCATCATGGAAGTGAGCTATCTTTCTTATTACATAATACAGGGTTTTTTATTTGCTGTGTGTTTCCCCCTCTGTATTACTTGACCCTTCTAAGTTGTCAGAATCATCACAAAATTGAGACCAGCCAGGCACACTGCCAACAAGGTGAAGGACTTATTTTAGATTGTTGATGTCTGAAGAGGTGCCTCTGTGATGCTGGCTTTGTTGGGGAGGTGTGATGCTGAGGTCAGAACATGTCCTGGCCTCTGGGCTCAATGGGTATGCCCACACATCTGCCCCATCGTTGCAGGGAACCCTCACCATCCCCAGACAGGTGATGGTGTTCATCAGCAGGAAGAGTCGCTATTGCAGGGAGCCAGGGAATCTCCTAAGCAGAGAATCTTCAAAAGGGGTCGTGCCGTCCTTCCTTGATAGCAGCCAGCCTTCAATAAGTTTCCACCACGGCCTACTTTTCAGTATGGGATCCAAGTTTTAATTTCACGCAGGTAGAGGTCTGTGTTGATGCCGTGGGCCAGTGCGCAAGAGCTGGGCTTCTGCTCTCCAGCAATCCTTAAGTAAGCGTTCCTCGAGTGGCCCAGGGGGCTTTCCAGGCGGGTGTGGGTGTCTGAGCTCCTCAGCCTCTCTGCTGCAATATCCAGGGGTGCGTCCCCCCTTTTCCGATTCTTGACGTCAAGCTCTGACAGCGCGAAGCCTCGCAAGGGCGGTGGAGAGCAGAGGGAGGGTGGCAGGGAGGGGAAGCCATTGCAGCAACAGCTTGTGGGAGGGAGCTGGACGTCTCTAGGTGGAGAAAAACCGGGAGCGAGGGCCAGAGTAGGGGAGGAAGGAGACCTGCCGGTTTAGGGAGCCTCTTGCTGCAAAGAGGGGCGGGGAGAGGCGGGGGCGCTGCATGCAACGCGCTGGCTCCAGCGGTGCCCGCGGGGAATGTGACATCAGCGGCGCCGGGCGCTTGCGGCTGGAGAAGGCAGCTCGCCTCGGCTGCGCGGTGCACACCTCGCCCGGGGGAGGACGCGGACTCCGGCAGGCGGCCGGGATGTCGGCGAAGGAGAGGCCAAAGGGCAAAGTGATCAAGGACAGCGTGACCCTCTTGCCCTGCTTCTATTTCGTGGAGGTGAGTTGGTGCAGCGCCTTGGCGTAATGCAGATCTCGCTGGCAGCTCCGGAGCGAATTCGGGTCCTGGACGGTGCTGGAGGCGCGGACACTGTGCCGGGGTGCGCGCCGCTGCCCTAAAATGCCCGACCCTCCCCCTTCCCCTAGGTTTCTCCGGAGCTCCCCCGAGTGTCCCTGTGAGTGTCTGCCAGCCAGGGGTGATTATCACTAGCGGTGTCGCTGCTAGGTGGCCTGCAGGGAAGAGATACCTGTGTGAGTGAATGTGGGGCTAGTTCCCTGGCCCTCCTGTAGCGCCTGTGTGCATAGCGTCCGCGGCCCACAGGGGCCATGATGCCGATATTTTGGGATGTGTGTTTTGCGTCTGCCAAGTACGTATCTAGAACTCTGTGAGCTTTTGCTAAGAATGCAAATGCACACAGCCATGCTCAGAATGTATGAGGTCTGGGGATGTTTATAGAGCATTAGAATCACTGATTGCTTTATTAAAAAACAAACAAACAAACGTTCCCCTGTTATGATTTCTATGGTGCTCACATCTGCTTCTAAAATTGGGTCTGCATCCCTAGGCATCAACCTATCGGCCCTTTTCCATGGTTAACAAAAATTACACATATACGTGTATATATGTATTATGTATATACATATGTGTGTATATATATCTGTAGTATTTTTAAAATCATCATCTGATTTTGCATGATTTGTACATGTGCACTTTTTCTGTGCTGAGCAGTATTACAGATAAGCGATTGACATGGAGCTGTAGTGATAATGAACCTCTAACTTACCCAAATGCAGTATTTAAGAAAGGAACAATTTATGGGAGGGTTATAAAGATTGACAGGTACAGTGATTCCATGCACGATGGTCCATTGCATTAGGAAGACATTTTTTAAACAAGAGGTTTATTAAGTCATAGGTAAAAAAAGAGATGCATTGGGTAGGTTTAGGGAAATTAAATGGTTTTAGGCACAAATGTATGTTCTGTAATTGAAGCCTGATTGCATAGAGAATTATAAGACTGTTGCTGAATTAAAAAAATCCTTCATTGGCTGTCTTTTCAGCCAAATATGGAGGTTTAGCACTTCCAAGTACAGACAGTAGACTCTGTATTTGGTGATTGTGAGGCTTATCTATATTGAGGGACAGCCATAGCCTTGAAACTTGGGGGAAGGGACACTGTCAGATTGTTTCTTGTACAGAACAGTATATTTGCAAATTTGTCTTGGGTGTCCTAAATTTTAAAAACAGTTTCAGTTATCAGAAAGATGTATGTGACTTGCATAAGTCTCAGAAAAATGATGGGTGACTCCTTCATGATCCATAGGGGGAAAAAAAAGATATCTTGTTTATTTAAAGTAATTAGTTGAGTCATTTATTTTTGGCCTTTCTCTTTCACAAGGGATTTTGAGGCCATGGTTTAGACAATTTTGTTGAAATACAACAGAGAGTTTTCTCAAGAAAAATGTGGGCAGCAGAGGATTCCATGATGAAAAGGGAAAATAAATAGAAAATGGGATAACTGACTTTAAGCTAAATCATGTCAGGCCACTTGTCGCATTGCTAATCCACTGTGGTTTAAAGCACTTTCATTCACGTCTGGACCCCTTATGTGTTCTAGGAGAAATCAGTTCATTTCTGGGTTCTACCTCCAGGATGGAGCACACCTGAGGTCAGCTACAAGCTGACTACATACGGATTGCGGCTGTATGGCTTCAAGGAAAATACTTCTTTGAAAGAGGATGCAAACCAGAGAATTAAGAATATGCCTTTAAAGAGTCTGTGTGTGCACTAATACATTTGAAATGTGTCTATTGGGACAGCTGGCTGGCTCAGTTGGTAGAGATCACTCTTGATCTCAGGGTCCTGAGTTCAGGCCCCACATTAGGTGCGAAGCCTACTAAAAAACAAACAAACAAAAAACCAAAACCTGAAAATGAAGTTTGTCTCTAGGAACAAACATCTCACAATTGTTACTTTTTTTCTATGAATGGAAATAGCCCCCAAGTCATTACATTCCCTTTGACCTATTCAGATACCCTCTACAAATTCCTTAGCAAGGCAAGCTATAAAACAATTACTTGAAGACTACGCATGGAGTTGGACTGAGCATTAATGACATTACATCTTGGGGGTAACAGATTTCAAAGGGAGAGCCACAAAATTGGATTGCAAATTATCTCCCTGAAACTTCAATGCATGATGAACCACTAAAGAGCCTCTAGAAAATGGGAGAAGACATTAGTACACCAATTATTTAAGGGGTTGACAGGATGCCCTACCAGGCTTCTTTGGAATGACTCATTTTGAAACCAGTGAGAATGAGCTTTATATCTCCTTTGGAGGATGAATAAATAGCACAAATTAATATGTCAGTAAAATGCTCTAGAATAATGACACTTTGTTTTACAACATAGTTTCCCAGGACCTTAGTAATTAAAATAGAAAAGTGAAACATGAGTGAATCTTCCATCACAGATCAGCCCAAAGCACTTATTTCAAGCCTTTCTCTGTTACTTCAGACAAAAATTTAAGCCACCTCTTTGCCAATTTCCAGAGCTGGTTTGGATTCCAGAGCATTCCTGAAATTGACCTGTCTGAATGGAGAGAGTAACTAACTGAGTGCTATTTACAGTTTGTACAAGGATGATGGCAACCATTTACGAAGCACTTAATAGATACTAAGAATAAAGAAAGCTAAATGCTTTACGTGCACCATCTCATTCAATTTTTAAAGGTTCTCATTAAGAAAGATGCCATTATTATGTCTGTTTCAGAGAAGAAGAAACAGAAACTCAGGACATTCAACAACTTGCCAGGGTTTAAAAGCAAGGTCAAAGGTAGAGCTGAGTGTTGATTCAAAACACGTGCTCCTAACCACTGCACCACCTGTCTCTCTCAACATGTTGAAAGAATATTCACATAGGTAAAGTTACGGTCTTTGGTCTCCCACTAGTAAACATCAGAACATGTAGTTTAAAATAACGGCATGTTGATAAAGATGACAGTTTTTCCTGATAACAGACCAGCTTTCTCAGCTCAGGCTGCCTCTAGGTGCAAAGGGTTGATGGACAGTGTATACTCCCCACACTGACTCACTAATTAGTGGCTAGTGTCCCCACAACAGGGGAAAGAGTGGAGACCCTGGCAGACTATGTGCAGAGTGTCAGAGCATGGAGATTATATCCCGTGGGTGCTGGCTTGAGGTGTTCAACCTCTAACATCACCACCAAACTCAATGTTAAGCAAAGATTAAATTACTGGAGAGCATTAATTTTTTGTACACCTTTGGTTTATACTGCCAATTGTCTGCTGATAAAGGAGTTTATGGTTGACGGTAACTAAATACATGAATATTACATGATGACTTTAAAAACACATGATGATTTCCAGCAGGATACCTCACTTTATGAACAAGTTTGTTTATTCGGTTTGGCATTGTTCAACTTGAAAGGAACTCTCAAACAAGCACATCCAAAGCCTTATCAGGTTCAACAGAAAAGCAGGTTAAAAGAGAATGTTCCACTGAAGAAAAGGTTTCCTTTACCTTTAAAGTTCCAAAGCACTCTCCAACTGGTGGTTGTATCACTTACGATGACAATTGCAGCCACAGCATACCTAGAATTAGTAAAAGGTCTTTCAGGCTTCATCACCCAGTAGTACATGTGATAAAGCTGAGTGTGTGCCTAATGCATTTTCTTTATGCAAGCCATCATAATGGCTGTACGTATGCTCAGACTCACCATTTTGTTCTCATTAGTCATCCTATTTAAAGAAATGGGTTCACATCCATTCAGCATGTAATGGCAACAAATGACAAATACTTCTAAGCCCACAAGGTATATTTCTTAATAAGTAAATGGGAAAGAGATCCTTTTCATTTAAATGTTCTGTTTTATGACATACATTTTTATTATTAATCTAATGTTTATTTTATGGAGATAGAAGAGCTATGTTTAACCAACATGCAAAGATATTTTTATAGGGCTACAGATACACATAGTTTCAAATTCTTGTTCTTTGTACACACACACACACACACACACACACACACACACACACCTACACACATAGTCATGCACAAACATAGGTGGAGTGAAAATATCATCACTCTCCATTAAGCATAAAGTAATAGTATCTGAAGCCTTACATATTCGAATATTTTAAACATTGCACACTTGAAATTGTATGGATAGTTTTCACTAGTTTGAATGTTGTACTTAACAATGGGTATGTTTCAGGATTTTGTTAATGCAGGCTAATTACTATAGGGCTGGTAACCAGACAATGTGTTCAGGAGTAAAAGCCGTTGTTTCTCAGTGGCTGTCCTACCTGGAGAAGTTCCAAAAGCCTTTGTTTGAGCACAGATACCCTGTATCAGTCAGAACACCATGTGCAGATATTCTCGTGCCCTGACAAAACATTAATCTGATTTTTTTCCCTGCCCACTGGAGAGTGTCCACAGATTCTTAGTTGTAGCAAACCTTAATTCACAAGATTTCTGTTCTAGCTCATGATCTATGTGAAAATTATATAACTCATTTGATCCCCTTGCTGAGAAATATAGCCAGCTTATTTTCTTCTACGTAAACTTTGGCATCCGTAAGAAGTACAGAATCACATTTGTGCATTGCACATACCAAAATAGTAGCTGTAGGTTTCTCCCTTTTCTAGATGGCATGGAGAGAGAGTCTGCTCAAAAAAGTACTGCAAACATTGCCAACAGAGATGAGCTGACAAATCGTTCCTCCTCTTTTAGAGTCACAACGTGCAAAGTCTTTTGATGAGAAACAAGAAGGAAATGGAGAACATAATAGATTCCTAAGTTTTAGAGAGATTAAATGAGGACATTCCCACAAATACCAAGTATTTGGAAATAGGCAGAACCTGCTATTAGGAAAATCTGTGCTATTCCTAAGCACCAATGCCATCCTACTGTGTCTCCATGGCCAAGTCACTCATAATGTTCTTTGCCCTACTTTTCTCTAACAAGAAAAAAAAATA